AGCTCAGCAAGTTTCTAGCTCAGGCAAAAAAAAAAAAATTAATGCAAACATTCAATTTTTTTGCTGTTTCAGAGAGATGCACTTCCATGCAAGATTTGCTCAAAAGAAAACTGCCAACTTTTGTGAAAGTATTGATGAAAAGAAAAATTCGTGGATTTTTTTGCTAGTCCAATGAGGAAGCTCAATTTCAAACCTGGCTTGTAATGGGGTCCCTGGGAGACCAAAGCCCGGGACACAGAATCCCCGCGCGACAAAAGCCCTGAAACAAAATCCCCGCCATACCCGCGCACAGCTGTAACAAAAGCCCCAAATTTTTCCCAGGCAGCAAGCCTTTTAGTGTCACCCTTGCCGCTGGTTAAACTTCATTACTTTGTTACTGATTGAGGGAAGTACACAAGCTCTTAAAGACAAAAAAAATGATTTTTTTCAACAATAACAAATTGAAAACAAAACAAATAACGAAAAATAAAAAAAAGTTCAAGAAAAAAAGAGAAAAAAACGGGAAAAGCGTTAATTTAAAATATTAAGGAATCTTTGAAATATTTTCCAAGAAATCCGAACGTTGAATAAGTCGGCTTTGATAATCTTTGCACAATTGACGCAGTTCTTTCTGGCAATCTCTCTCGACGGTGGACACGTGAAAAAAATATCGTCAAGCTACCAATCAAATTTTTTAAAGACGGTGCACGGAAATTGTGAGCCCCTCAATAAACGATTGTGATTGCAAAAATTTGGGAATACCCCAAAGACTCAGGATATGATAATTTTTCCAGCATCTGTTTCAATTTTCTCACGCAATCTATTCATTTTTTTTTTCATTGTCTGCTTCAAGAGTGAAACTTGGCAACTCTCAATCATCAAGTTACTAATTTATTGCTAGAAATATTTTAGTTTCTCCCTAAATACTGTCGTATCATACTGTTTTTGCAAAGAGATGTTTCAAAATCCAAAAATTACCTTGGAATGTCATTGCCATCAAGCGCAACTCTGGCAGAGTCATACCCTCGATACTCAAGCCTTTTCAATCTTTTTATGAGAAAATCTGTAGAGAAAAAAATGCGCTTCTTATGGGGAAAAAAAGTTTGGGGCTTTTGTTGCAGCTGTGCGTGGGTATGGCAGGGATTTTGTGTCAGGGCTTTTGTCAGGCGGGGATATGACTCTTTCCCATTTCAAACATCCATTGACAGTTGACAATATACACAGAGCACAGCAAAAACAAGTTAACCATTTTAAAATCCACCGAAAAATCCTAGAAGATGAAAGGTTTACTACTTTACACGTTCAGAAAAGAAAGGAAAAAATCTCCAGCATTTCGACTATGATGGCAGTTTCAACATCAGTTATTAATTCATGCAGGAAAGTTTTAATGACAGGCTTATTGTGAAATATGATAATATCATTATCTGGTGGTGTTTATCTTGCTCATGTGTGAATGTTTGACTGGAGTTGAAGAATATTTTTGAGTGTTGATCTCATCATCAATCATAATTCAATCCAACCCTACAAATGCCCGTGACACACAAGCTGCTATACATTGACTCATTCTGATTAGATATTTGTCCTGAATAATATTTTGAAAATTAAAATTTCAAATGAACTTGGGTGCCACAAACAGATTAATTGGTTCTCCATTGAAGTTCATGCTGGGAAACACAATTTGGTTAACAAACTTTTGTATGATGGAACCCATCAAGTTCATTAACCCAGGGTCCATCCATGCACAGTACATAAATATAAATATATATATATACATTTATATTTATACAGTTATAGTTGGTTAACAGGTCCTGTATATATTTACTGCTACTGTATATATCCAAGGTAAATACAGTATGAGTAAAATAGTGCAGCCCATAGTATGTATCGTATACTATATGTCTTTATTGTCTGCACATGAGTAAAAGTGCAGTATACAGTGCTGTAATTGACCTGCGATGTAACAGTACTATGTTCTACCATATATAATGAAAGGAGACTCGGTCGCTCGCTGGCTGCTCCATAATTAAATAAACATACATGTACTGTACAGTACAGTTACATGCCTTTACTGTATATGCAGTATAACGATCGAATGCTGCCGAGTCACGTGAAATCATTGCGGGCTGGGTTTGGGTTCGTCGTACGCCCGGACAGCAGTAGAAAATAGTAATATTGTACTGTATATACTTGGTAGTTATTGTACTGTAGAACTGTACTGTAGGCTGCAAAGAATCTCCCGACCATGAGGAAATGAATACAATTGCGGTGGCACGGAGGAGGAGGAGAAGCATGAGAGACAGTACGATAGACGAGGATGAGTGAAAAGCGTGACTGCACACGCTTTCTTCATCTTCTTTTTTTTTCTCACTTTCGCCCGGAAGCCGGCATCATTTTTCGCCATGACTCATCATGGATACTTGGAGCTAGACTGTGAATACAATTTTGTACAGTAATGCACTGTACTGTATACGTCACTGCGTGTGTTGTTTGCTTCCGATACGGAGACCTGCCTGCCTCATGGTTCAAATTCATAAATCTATTGTTGAAGCGCGGCCAGTAGTGCATATCAATTGTCGCAGCATTTCCTTCTTCATGTCTTCATCATCATCATCATATACTGTATTGTATATAGCATGCTCCTCTTGCACGTATAAACTACTGAAATAATACGCTGCATATTTGTTGCGAATTTCCTTCATCGTCTTTCCATGCATACGTGTGCAATATGCTTTATACAAGCAGTTTATTCCCTGCTGGATATATTCCTCGCTCGTCCAGCATATGATGATGGTGATGAGTCTGCTGATGACGAACTACCACTATTACAGTATATACAAATATAAGATGGCAAGCTCAGCGGCCAAAACCATTCAACAGGTCCATTTACTACACATCGCTTATATGCAGTGTACTGTACTGCATCTGATTACTGTATAGCATTATAAACTGCATCCCGATCTATAGCTCTTATTATATAGCACGGCAGTTGCCATGGTACATGAATTCCTTCCCTCCTCCTCCTCCTCCTCCTCCTCCCCTCCTCATCATCATCATTATTGTACTGTATATGTCAGCCCTGAGGTATTCAATGACACTTATTGACAGTGCAATGCCAAATAATGTACTGCATGTACTGTACTGTGCTGTGCTCCGATGCAACCAAAAAGTCCCTCATCCTCCGTCCCAGCACTGCTGTGGCGCCGCGTTTATTCAAGATCACGTGACCCAAGCATGCCATGCACACTCGGGCACGTTGACAATAGCCGTACACGGGTACGGCGTGGCACGCGCCCGGTATGTCGCAACACCAACTACTGGGTCGGAGATTCAGGAAAGGAGGAGGAAGGGTCGAAGAGCATGGCGTGGGCTCCGAAGCCCACAGAACAGCATGTGCAGCGATTCAGAGTGGAACTCTGCTGTGTTTTCTATTTGTCTGAGAATTACCTGTCTTGAAATTCGGTCAAAGCTTTAAGTCTGAAGTGTGTTTGTGAGTTTGGATTAAAGAAGCTAACTTCTTGGGACTCCCTTCTGGAGGATCTGGCCGGTAAAGGCTGAATCTGTCTTTTATTTCTACCGCAAATCCCTTGTCGATTTCCACCCAACAACTGCTCTGACATACATTATATGCATTGCACTGCTGAACATTTATTTGCTCTTCCTTTTTCTACTACTGTACCAAACTGAATCATCATCAGAAATCACATCAGCGAGAGATCGTCAGTTGATTTGTTTTTCCCCCTTCTTCTTCTTTTTCTTCTGGGCGACAGCTAATTCGTGTAAAACGGTAAAGGGACAGCCAAAAAATAAAGATACTAGCTTATTCGACAGGTTGATGTTTTCTTCGGTACCAATCACGTAATTGAAAGTAGCCTTTCCTATATACAGTATAGTGATCATACATTAGGCACGGAAAAGTGAATGACCGTGCAGTATACGCAGTGCAGTCCACATTATCCACACAATTATGAATAACCAGCTGTATATACTGTATACATATATATATATATATATATATATATATATATACTGTACATATTCCCTATGTACAGTATTCAAACTTGTTCAATTTCTAATACAGTACTGTATACCACAAACGGCACATTATGTATTTTAGGTTTAAACAACCCAGCATTTTTCACGATTTCAGCTGTTTTCCGTTTGTTTTTCGTTATTTTTTTGATAAGACGGGGCCGGTTTATTCTATTTTCTTTTCTTCTATCTTATATACTGTACTGTATTTGTCAAATCGTCAGAGCAAGAAGGAAATGACCAATACATTTACGAGTATATATAGTATACAGTTTGGAATTCCCTGCTGCTGATGGGGGGCAGTCCAGAATAATCGGCGGTATGCAGTACTGTATATACGGTATAATAATACAACTACAGTATAATGGACATGATGCTGCAATCCTCATCCTCGTCTTTCCAACGAACGATGATGATGACAATGGTGTGCCGAATGAAGCATTACAAGTGCTTTTCTGGAAGCCCCGATATGAGAACGGCGGTTCCAAGCAATTCCCGCAGTAGTACTGTATATAGTACTATATATATATAGAGTACACGCACATGCAAATGCACATGCTGTATACTGTGGAACCCGAGAATACAAGAAGGAATGCGAGGCGAGGACCCCATCTCAGAAATTATGCAATACAGTATATGTTTTGCGGTGAAGCGAAACACATGCGCAGAGATGAAACGCAATAATAAGAGCAAAGGAGCTGAAGCTAGCTATAATAGGGCCTTTATACAGTATAGACAGTACATTACATTAGCACTGTAATAATAATAGAGTACAGTACAGAACTCTTATAGTCATCAGCTGGATCGACGAGTTAAATTCGTTCTGGCTGCTGATGAGGTCGTTGCATCGTACTGTAATAATAATGCTGCACGTCGTATACTGGCGAAAGAAAAGTCTCTTTTCTTCCGTCCACCGTGGTGGATTGTCATATCGGTTCTTTGCCTTATTCTCATATATGCTGGGCTGTGCTCATTCATTGAATTGACGACAGGCCCTGCATCCCCTGATTTTCTGATGGCGGCGGCGGAGGCAGCAGCAGCAGCAGCAACAGGAGCAAGCACGATGAAGGGAGGATGAGCCCGGATGAGCCTCACGTGTGCCGGCTGCTGGTGATGGTGCTGGTGCTGATGCTGGTGCTGCTCTTGACCCGACACGTGTCTGATGCCGGTTATGCTGTGCTGGACGAGCATCAGCAGGCCACCGGGCCCGGCTCGGCTTCTTTCCGTCATCGCGGCGTCGTCGATGGTGGTGGTGGTGGTGGTGGTGCTGCAGCAGGTCAGCGCCTCAGGTTGGACGTCGACCAGCATCCGCCGGCGGGATCCAGCAGCAGACACAACGATGACGACGACTCATCTGCTGATGATGGCGGCGATGGTGGTGGTGGTGGTACGTGAGCATAAATCGACAGTCTACAACTATAACTACAGTACACTCGTATACTGCTGCACTGCACTGCACAAGTGTATACAGTCAGCAGCAAATATATGTGCGGATTATGCGTGTCCCGATACCTATACAGTATTGTATCCCACTTTGGTCCCATTATTCATTACCCCAACTACTGCATATACATTATGCGAGATGTCGTCACGTACCGTCGAGCAGCACAGGCATGTATATATACTGTATGTATATACAGTAGTGTGCATGTTATATCGGATCACGGCAATTTACCGCACAATGACATTGGATATTTCTCTCATTTCTTTGCAAATACTGTATTGTGTACCAAGAAATAAGGCCGATCAATATATGTTCTCTGTATTGTATACAGTACAGTACTTTATGGGGTCTGCTGCGCACGTTAAGCCTCCATCGAACCGCGCATCTCAATAAAGTGCATGAATTACAGTACAGTACAGTGTATTCTCAAATGTATCCCGAGTTTGAGTGGTGCCTCCAACAGCAGCCCGCACTCGTGGTGCTGTATATTAGTTCACATAAGTGTGTCATCCCAACTTATCTTTTTGAGCCCAAGGACTGGCAAATTTCCGTAAAATTGTTTGCAGACCTGAAAAAAAGAATTTTGCTGTGGACCAGCAAAATTTCATAAACTATTTGCAGATGCAAAATAAAATTGTTGTTTGAAAGACATTTGAAAATTTTCTGTGTTTTATGTTGTCAAAAATTTTCAAGTCCATATTGTATAAATAAGAACCAGTGAAGCAGCTGTATCTCAGTGCTGGAACGTCTTGAAAAAAAAAATTTGAAAGGTGAGCTCAAAGAAAGGTTTCTCCGACAGAACAGCTGGAAAAATTCATTTCAAGGGATGAAAACTCGTTGTCTAGCATTATTAGCATAAATGAAATTCAACTTTCATTTTCCTTTAGATACTTTCCAGCACTTGAGCAATCAGCATACACTCTTTATCGAAATATCAGATAACAATAATAGACTCCATCATTGCTACTTTGGATAAATTTATTTTCCTGGAGAAATTTCTCGTGGACTGGCAACAATCTTCTGCAGCCGACCAGCGCCATTCCACGGCGGACCATCACGGGTTGTCAACATTATACTGATGGTTTACACTATACAGTACTGTATAATGTACTGTTTGTACTGTGTATATGCCATCACATATACTGTATATACTATACACTGTATTACAACACGCAGGCCTCATCCTGAGCAATGCCGACTACAACTTGGCTGATGATGATGATGATGAGTTGGTGTTGATGGATGATGACCCGGTCAATGATGATGATGAGTCGGGGCTTCTGCTGACGATGAGGGTGATGGACGGCGCTGCTTCTGCTGCTGCATCTTCTCTCGCTGATGACGCTGCTGCTGCTGCCCGGCCCGTGTTCCTCAAGCAGCCCTCGGACGCCTTTCTCGTCCGCAACAAGCCCGCTGTGCTCAAGTGCGTCGCCGCCCACGCCCTCCGCGTCTACTTTGACTGCTCGGGCGGCTGGGGCCAGGAGAAGCAGGACGAGTTGACCCTGGTGGACCCCATGACCGGGATCCGGGAAGTCGAGAGCAGCCTCGAGGTCACGCGCGCGGCCGTCGACCAGTTCTACGGCGGCGAGTTCGCGTGTCGCTGCGCAGCCTGGTCCAGTCAGCGCGGCGAGGTCCTGTCGCGCAAGGCAGTCGTCACCAACGCCTGTGAGTGGACCAGCAGTACATATATATTTATATTGTTATCCTGCAAAATACTTGACAATATGTTTTGAGTTTCTTCTCCCTTAATTTCTTCTCCAAGCTAGATGAACATGGGAAGAAAAC